ACACCGGGTCTGGACGTCTGCAACCGAACAGTAGATCGTCGGTTCCGGGAGTGACTGAGGGTAGATAACTCCCCCGCATCTTGTGCACTGGTCTCGCCTTGAGAAGTGATTGGTTAGTGGGACCAGACAAGTCCGACCTTGAGTGGGCCGGAGTCCGTGAGCCAGACAGAGAGTGACCTTGAAAGGCTTGTCCCCGCGGCGTCCGAGGAAAGCATGACTAAGAATAAGGGGTCGCTACAAACTCATCAAGACTCTCTTCGCACATATCAATCAATCCTAGCGGCCATTTCCCACGAGATGCGTGCTCTCTAGACATTAGGATCACGTCACCTACATTCAGCTCTCGGGACTCTCGAAACCACTTAGTACGTTGTTGTAGTGTAGGAAGGTTTTCTTTTGTCCAGCGTTGCAAAAAGACGCCCGCCATCAGGCATGATTTTGCGTAATCAAATCGTCAGTATGAGGCAGCTCCAAGCTGTTTTGCAACAATTACAAACTGAGAAGTAATCTTTGCCAAAATGGCTTCTCGTAAAATGGGAATATTTGCACAATAACAAATTGTTTGGCGCAAGAGGTTCTAGCTCTGAAGCTGGTAGGATCGGCGGTCTGTTGTTTAATATGCGTTCCACCTGTACAAGGAGTGTATTGAGCCGCTCGTCGTTTGCACACTGCCCGTTACACAGTGAAATCATACTGACCTGATCACATGCTCCCATACAACTCTGCGATGCTTAGCTGTGGGTGGGTTAGCATGTCATAGTATTTCTGAGGTTAGTAAGTGATCTAATATCGCCCCCTACTCCCACCTTTTTATGTCATTTCTGAGCTCCCTAATTGATCCGACAAAGGCGGTTCCCTTTTCAATATAGATGAGAGTCGGCTTTCCTCGTCTACTAACGAATCTCATCAGGCACTGGAGAACGAAATCAATAGAAAGACAGGACGCCTGGTTAAGTCTGTAAGCAACTAAACAGGCAACAATAGCGGTTTTAATAAGACCGTCCAAGCTCGGTAAAAAAAGGTTCCGAAATAGTCTACTCCGGCAAACTTGAAAGGATATCATCCCACTCATGTCTTTTATAAGCAAAGAGGGTCCAACATCTGCCATGGGGGGAGGCTAAATACGTTTGAACGATAAACATATTCCACACTGCCCTTCACGATCCAAAACTATTGACGGATAGTCCCCAACACTTGTACCGTCCTGCAGTGCCGTTCTAGTTCGTGGAAATAGTTGAGTATTAAATCTGTTACGGGATGAAGGTTTGGAAGAATCATTGTAACTCGAATAGCTCAAGCGACCTTCAACACGCACTTTACCATTAATCTGAACAGAACACAAACGCTTCAAAACCCCTAGATCTAACGGTTTTTCTTTCACCAACAACATCCATTTGAGTAGATTTGAGAATAATCAGTTCTTGAGTAAAGTGCTGACACTGTACATACTTAATCAACCTATCCATAGTCTAACACGTCTCCGTAACTCAAATATAGCCCACCAACAATGTCTCTTGAGATGCCTTACCAGCGGAAACCATGATGTACTGCTTGAAACGCAGGAGCAAACACCACGGCCCTTTGTAACCTGGTCCAACTTGAAAAACAGTAAACTAGTTTATCCAAAATGTCACCTTGACTTAATTCATAAACTTAAACTATCGTTCTTTTGAATTCGAAATCTTCGGGTCGCGGCAGTGAAAGATATACAGGGCATCCGTTCTCCAATCGAACCGAAAGTTCCGGCCCGTGCAAGCATCTTTGTAAAAACGCAACATTGCTTGTACTTCGCGAATCCGTGTCTGCTGGGTTAATACCCGAACCCACGCCTCTCCATTGTGAAGTTGCAGACAAATCATGTAAAACCGTCAGTCGATTAGCCACGAATGTGCAGAACCTGGTTGATTCATTGCGTATATATTACAGGACTATCATAGAATCAGTCCAGAAGGTTATCCTTTTAAAGTACGTACCAGTAGTTGACCGAATGAGGTCAGCCAAGCGTACAGCTAGTGTTGCAGCTGCCAACTCTAATCGTGGTATAGAAACAGCTTTGAGGGGTGCGACAGATGCTTTTGAATAAACGAGTGAACAGTGTAAGTTCCATGTTTCGGTAATGAAACGAGCATAGGCAACTGCGATATATGTTACTTCTGACGCATCGCAAAACACGTGTAGTTCAGTCCGCAGTGGATCGCTGATGCCATTGGGTCTTAGAAATCAAGCCAGTTGAAGCCTTTTTTGACTCTGTAATTTTGAGCTCCAGTTTTACCACCGAGATCCCTCGATGACAGGTAGTTACTCATCCCATTTCAGTCCACCTTTGCATAAGGATTGCAGTAAGCGCTTTTCCAGTATCAGACAAGAGGAAACGAAACCCAGAGGGTCATGAAGAGAGGACAAGCAGGAGAGGATGTCTCTATGCGTCAACGGGTTCGTAGGTATGTTGAGGCTTATCGCCAGTATATCAGAATTCGTACCCCACTGCAGCTCTAAAGTTGGTTCCGTTGGTAGAGAATTAACAACAATATCCCGCCTTTTAGAAGAAAATTCGATCGCAGTGATGAGCTGAAGTACACAACGGTCATTGGACGCACAGTTTCGCATACGAAGGCCGCCTTGAGAGCGCAGCGCACAAATTTCACCCACAAAAAGTTTGGCAGAATCCGCACTGCCTAGCAAAAGCAGACAAGCATCAATGTAAATATTCCGATGAATCGCTTCGCAAGTTAATGAAGAGTAGGATGAACCGAAAGCTTCAACTTTTTTTCCGTAACACGAATATTGCACATAATTGCGAAGAAGGTAACCCGAATGCAAGAAATGTCCACTGGAACTCAACTGGTTCCCCCGCCGATTCGTCACTTTCCCACCACAAGCATT